CGCATCAATTATTAACAAGTAGTGCTGACCTTTGTCTTCAGCGAAATCAAGATGAACCCTCTCAAATGGCCGGTTCGGGCAGACCCAGTGGTGAGTGGGTGCCTTCGTTGGTGCTCGAGCCTGCTGTTGGCATAGACGACAATTCGCAGCAAGTTCAACTATGTCTTGGTCTAAGTGAGGCCACCAGAAGATGGATCTAGCCACAGCTTTCATGCGAGATACGCCAAGATGATCAACATGCAACTCATGCAACAGACTGGAATGAAATACCAAGGGAATCACAACCCGCAAACCCCAGGTGATACATCCCTGCTCAACAGATAGCTGGTCTCGAATACGATAGTACGAGGAAAGACTGTCTGGGACACTGCTAGGCCAGCCATGTGTGATGTGGTGCATGACCTTACGTAGAGTGGGGTCAGCTGTAGTTGCCTTGCTAACATCGGTAGCGGATAATGGCAGATCATGACAAGGATCAACATTGACAGACTTAATGTAATCCGTGAGCTGTTGTTCCTGAAGCACAGAAAGCTGAACGGGCAAACGCGATAGACAGTCAGCAACAACATTATCAGTACCATTGATATGCTGAATGGAATATTGATACTCAGACAAAATAACAGCCCAACGTTGTAGACGTGCTGTAGTGACAGACGGAAGTTGATCATGTTCACCAAAGATCTTCAATAACGGTTTGTGATCGGTGCGAAGGGTGAAGTGTCGTCCACACAGATACTGTTTAAGACGCTTCACGGCAAATACAATGGCAAGAGCTTCTCTCTCAATTTGCGCATAATTTCTTTCAGCAGCAGCCAAAGAACGAGATACATAAGTAACAGGACGCAAATAACCTACTTTGTCTGGTTGTAGTAGGCAGGCACCGATTCCCGTGGGAGACGCGTCGCACTCCAAGATGAGTGGTTTCTTGGGATCATAGTGAGCCAGTACGTTTGACGATGCTAAGATCTCCTTGCACTGGATGAAGGCATGTTGACACTCGGGAGTCCAGTTCCATTCTGTACCCTTCTGAAGAAGACGGTTCAAGGGATACAACAACTGCGAAGCATTAGGGATAAATCGACCATAAAAGTTGACCAGCCCCAAGAAGGAGTGTAGTTCTGACGAGTTAGTGGGCTGTGGTGCTTTGGCTATAGCAGATACTTTGCTAGGATCAGCATGCAGCCCCTTGCTTGATACAATGAAGCCTAGATACTTGACACTCTCCTGGTTCAGCTCACACTTCGCTTTCTTCAGCTGTAATCCTGCCTTCTCAAATCTGTCTAGAACTTGACGCAACCGGGTATCATGCTCTGCTTGGTTGGTTCCCGTGATTAAGATGTCATCAAAGTACAAGATGACCCCATCGATGCCAGCTAAGATCTGCTCTATAGTCTTTTGCCAGATTGATGGTGCTGAGGAAACGGCAAAGGGCAATCTCGTGAAAGCAAATAACCCTCGATGGGTTGCAATGACGCACAGATTCTGACTGTCTTTGGACAATGGCAACTGAGTGTATGCTTGGCTGAGATCAACTTTTGAGAAAACAGAGGCCCCTGCAATGCTGGACAATAAATCACTGGGATTTGGAATAGGGTGTATGTTGCTTTCAATATGCTGGTTGATGGTGACTTTAAAGTCTGCACAGAGTCGTATAGAACCATCGGCTTTCTTCACAACAACAATAGGAGAAGCCCACTCTGAAGATTCTACCGGAACTAGAACACCCTCCTTAATCAAACGATCTAATTCAACATCAACTTGCGGTTTCATGGCGTATGGCAACGGTCGAACTGAGTAACACTTGGGAATTGCCCCGCTGGCAATGTGGATCACCGCCTCCGAGTCATGGATCTTGCCCAGACCACCTTCAAAAACGCTTGGGAACTCGTCTAATACAGACTCAGAATCAGACGTACGTGGAGCAGAAGAGACAGAACAGATGGTATGCCAATCCAAACGTATGTTAGACAACCAATTGCGGCCGAACAACGGGGTGGTGCCCTCTTTGACCACAAGAATCTTCTCCTGGACATGTTGCGACTGGTACTGTACATCGACACAGGCCTCCCCCACAACAGTTAAAGGTGCCCCCGAGAAAGTACAGAGTGCAGTCTTGGTGGCATTCAGTTTGACATCTCCCCACAACTGTTTCCAAAGAGCTTCAGGAATGATAGATAACTGTGCCCCTGTGTCAAGTTCCATGTTGAGGGGTTTCCCGTTTACAAGTACATCAACTCGGAATTTGCCAGTGTGACTGTGCTGGGACCCAATATTGGCAATCATGAAATCTGAGCTTAGAGCTTCATCACATTGGTCAGGCAGTGAGACATGGTGAGTACCAGCATCCCTAGGTTGGGCATGCGATGATCTACTTGCATTACTACTACTAGTACCACCTTGAGATCTACAACAAACAGCATAGTGTCCAACCTTACTACACGTGTTGCATCGGCGGCGGCGTGCTGGGCAATCGTCAGCTGACGACGCGTGACCCACCCTGTTGCATCGCGTACATGGGGAGCGCGTTGACGATGTCGTAGAGCGTACGGCGTCGACGCTGCTTGGGCTGGCACTGACGCTTGACGCTGCCGTAGCCATAGATCTTACTTGAATGCCTGACGATTCTCGCACGCGAAACTTTTCCAGCAGCACCTGTAGGGTAAGGTTACTCTTGGACAGAAGAGAGCGTTGCAGGTCGACGTCAATACAAGTGGCAATCATCTGATCACGAATATGCTCGTCATCTGCAGCAAATGCACAAAGTTTGGCCTGCGTACGGAGTCTGGTGCAGAATTGCGTGGCATTCTCTCCTACATTGGGTGACATCTGTCTGAACACGTGCCGCTCAAAAGTTGGATTGACTGTATATGCGAAATGCTCATCAAGCATTCTTACCGCTTGTTTGAAAGCATTGTCATCCCCTGGTCTATCTGCCTGCGCAACCGGGTCTTCGAGATCTTCAAAGATCTCCTGAATCTGTAGGCCAGCCTTGTGCAACAGCATGCTGCGCTGGCGATCTGGGTCGGTGATGTCCTTGGCTTCGATGAAGTACTGGAAAGCCCGCCGCCATTTCTTCCAACGCTGTTGGACCTCACTTGCGTGCCCACTGATAAGGAACTGGTCGATGGAGTCCATGGACATGGTTCGGAAATTTCGTCGCCAATGTTGTAAATCAACGTTCTGCACACGATAGGAACTAAGGCACTCACAAAACACAACGGGTAATAGGTTTATCCATTACTTTACCATAGTATAGTAGAAGACTGGAGAGTCCTTAGACTCGAGCGGAATGCATGAAAATGATAGCAAGCTCAGGTTATATGCGCTCCAAGCGTTTGGTGCAATCGGATGCAAAGTTAGCGTACAGCGCATGCGGACTTTAGATCTCTAGATGTACGCTACAGAGTGGCGTGCAGTTTTAGAGCAGCGAACACAATTTTATTCTAGAGATGTACACAGAGCGCATGCGTCAAATTCAGTTTGGGAAAGGTTGCGTGTGAGCAACATGCAAATAAATTATGGGCGAAGACTTTGTAAACAACAGCCTTCGCTTGCAGCAGGAAGATAACTAATGTTTGTAAACATGAAGTATTATCATACCTTCCAAGAAAGGTGTCTCGGAGTGACCTAGACCTGGAGAAGTCAGGTACGTGATTTATGTATTTGCACAACATATTACTATCGTAAATATTTGACGTATGCTCGAGAATTATTGAAATGTCTAACTATAACAGACAGAAACAAATGCACCAAGAAAAAGAGCCACACTTCTCTAAAGAACTCGCCCAAGGCTGCTGAAAGCTGGAAAATAACCTCTCTGACAGTTTGGGGCTTTTTACCCGTGAATCTTCACTTTGCGACTAAACTATTCACAGCAGTGCCAACTTTTCTGGGTCACTGAATGTGGGTGCCAGCGCCCTCCAAGCAAACCAAAAATAAAATCAATTCCGCCACTAATATTACAGCTGGGTCATGTTATAGAGAGGTGCATTGAAATTCAAAGGTCAGCACAAATGGTCAAAATCCGCCACTTTCTCACCTTTCTGCCCGTTCGCAGCTCAAAAAATGACAATGACCATCCTCATCTCCTTCTGTAGCTGGACATAGACAAGTGCACCAAGAAAAAGAGCCACATTTCTCTGAAGAACTCGCCCAGGGCTGCTGAAAACTGAAAAATAACCTTTCTGACAGTTTTTGCCTTTTTACCCGTGAATCTTCACTTTGCGACTAAACTATTCACAGCAGTGCCAAATTTTCTGGGTCAATGAATGTGGGTGCCAGCGCCCTCCAAGCAAACCAAAAATCAAATCAATGGGACCATCGACAACGCAGCTAGGGCATGTTATAGAGAGGTACATTGAAATTCAAAGATCAGCACAAATGGTCAAAATCCGACATTTTCTCACCTTTCTGCCCGTTCGCAGCTAAAAAAATGACAATGACCATCCTCATCTCCTTGTGTAGGTGGACATAGACAAGTGCACCTAGAAAAAGAGCCACATTTCTCTAAAGAACTCGCCCAAGGCTGCTGAAAGCTTAAAAATAACCTATCTGACAGTTTGGGGCTTTTTACCCGTGAATCTTCACTTTGCGACTAAACTATTCACAGCGGTGACAAATTTTCTGGGTCAATGAATGTGGGTGCCAGCGCCCTCCAAGCAAACTAAAAACCAAATCAATGCGACCACTGATATTACAGCTGGGTCATGTTATAGAGAGGTACATTGAAATTCAAAGGTCAGCACAAATGGTCAAAATCCGACATTTTCTCACCTTTCCGCCCGATAAAGGGGCACTCCGGCTTCATTTTCGACGCCGAGTTTTCGATGCCAAGATGAAGGTTGGTGAAAGAGAAGACCCCTCGAACAAGAACGAGTCTCCAGAAGCGATCGAGTCGAGCAGGAAGACGACTTTTGAATTTCGCCGAGCGAGCGCTGATGACGTAAATATAAGTTTCCGTGCATGGCACGGTAAGTGAAGTTAGCAACCCACCAACAATTACATTCCTAACATAATTTGCACGTACTTGCCATAGCGCATCACGTGCCCGTGCAGAACACGCGCTCCGGCACGGGACCACGCGGAGCATGCGCATTACTCCGGCTCTCGATGCTGTTTCTTCATCCTTGCTGCGCCAACAGTCAGATCGCTTGACAACCTTGGCCAGTTTTTGAGCATTGAGCACTTTCCATTTCCGAGCAACCATGTCTGAATCTCTGTCAGTGAACGACGCCAAGAAAATGCGCTCTGTAGAGCTGCGACAAGAACTGGCGGCCCGCAATTTAGACACGACGGGGACCAAACCCAGGCTGTTGACTCGCCTGCTCGAGTCATTGGAGTTCACTGCAGTGCGCGAGGACTTGGCCACTCAGGCAGCCGAGCAGAACCTACCCCAGGCAACTGCTGCTCCGTCCCTGAGGGACATTATCCGGGAGGAGGTCCGTGCTGCCCTTGGAAATCAGGCCGCAGCTCCAGTCCCGCCGGCAGCTCACGCAGCGGCACCCCCACCGCCAGCTCACACAGCGGCACTCCCACGGCAAGCACCAGCAACTCCGCAGGACGCTCTGCCTGCTCCGCATTTGGCGGCTGCCGTCTCACCGCCAATGAACCCCGCAGGTAAGAGAACGTTTTATGCAACCGTGCCGAAAGCCATTCACGATAAAGTAGTAACTGGCCAATTTGTTGAATTGGGCTCATTGTTGCCTAACCCGTCCCAAGGGGACACCAGCCGCAGCATTCTCCAGATCGACCACGACAGCTCGCACGGCGCAGTGGTCCTAGCACCGGCCAACAGGCCCTCCAGGAAGGTCGAGGACATCGATACCTGGCTCGACGCCTGGACAACATACTGCGCGATTTACGCCACAGCACACCCCTCCAGGGCCCCAGAGCTGTTTGCGTACCAGCATATTATCCTGAAAGTAGCCCGGAAATTTCGATTCGAGGCCGTGCAGGAGTATGACCGATCATTCCGCTCACTCCTGGCCGCGGACCCAACCATGCGGTGGGACGCAATAGTCCAGGACCTATACACAATTATATTTGACGCGCGGGCATTTCGTCCCTTTCGGCCCACCGGCAGCAATGACGCTCGTTCCTTTCGGCCCAACAGCAGCAACGACGCTCGTTCCTTTCGGCCCAGCAGCGGCAACGACACGGTCGACAAAGAAGTATGCCGCCTCTTCAACCAAGGAAAGTGCGTCCGCTCCAACTGCCGCTTCGCCCACAGCTGCCTCTCTTGCGGCCGCCTCGGTCATGGCCAATCCACATGCTCTGCTGGCCAACCCCGCAGCTCCAATTAGCTCACACGCGCCTTGGTCCCCTGTAAGTGTTCCCCTGCTGTTTGAAGAGCTATCCCAGCACCCCGATAACGATTTTGTGCATTCTCTCTGTCACGACATGCGCTTCGGGGCCCGCATTGGCTATCACGGTAATAGATCCCGCCTCATCGCCCCTAATCTCCCTTCCGCATTGCTCAACCCTGCCGCCGTCTCTGCTTACCTTCAGTCTGAATGCACGCGTGGCCACATGGCCGGGCCTTATTCCCAACCCCCATTCCCTAATATCCGATGTTCTAGCGTTGGCATCGTGCCCAAGAAGTCTGGCGGCGTACGCCTCATCATGCATTTATCTGCCCCTAGCGGCTCTAGCATTAACGATGGCATTTACCCTGACGAATTCTCCCTGCATTACGTTACGGTAGATGACGCAATACGCTGCATCTTCCAGCACGGCCCCGGAGCTCTCCTCTCTAAGGTTGACATGAAGCACGCCTTCCGGCTCTGCCCTGTTTCCCCTGACGACTGGCCCCTACTTGGCATTTTTTGGGAAGGTTCGTACTATGTCGATAAGGTACTACCATTTGGCCTCAGATCCTCCCCGTTTCTGTTCAACAGACTTGCCGACGCTGTGGCATGGATTGCAGTTAATAATTACGATATTGTTGATTTGCTGCATTACCTAGATGATTTCTTTCACGTCCAGCCGCCCAACTCCGCAGCTATGCTCAAATTCAAGACACTGCTGGCTGTATTTGACATGCTGAACATCCCATTGGCCGACGGAGAGGACAAAGTGTGCCCGCCGTCAACTTCAATAACGTTCCTGGGTATCGAGCTCGACACAGCCGCCTGGGAGCTGCGCCTCCCGGCTGCGAAACTGGCGGAACTACGGCTAGCACTTGCCGCGTGGCTGTCGAAGCAGATGTGCACCAAGAGGGAACTGCTGTCCCTGGCCGGTAGCCTGTCTTTCGCAGCCAAAGTCATTCCAGCGGGTCGCACGTTCTGCAGACGCCTGTTCGACAGCGCAGCAACGCTCCCTAGCCTAGATGCACCGGTAGCCGTACCCTCGGAGGCGAAGCTTGACATCCTGTGGTGGGATGCCTGCATCAGCCAATGGAATGGTCGGAAGCCCCTCATCGAGCCGTCCTGGAGCACAGCCGAAGACATCGGGCTGTACACCGACGCTTCAGGTCGACACGGTTTCGGTCTGGTTTTCGGCAGCAAGTGGTCCTATGGCGCATGGTCTCCTGACCAAGCTAAGCACACTATTGAATGGAAAGAATTGTACGCCGTGATGTTGGCCCTCTGTACCTGGGCACACACGTTGGAGGACAGACGAGTGCTACTCTACACTGACCACGAAGCAATCTGCTACATCTGGCGCTCTGGCACGTCTCCAAATAGAGCGGTCATGAACTTGGTCAGGGCCGGCTTATTGAAAGCCGCCCAGCATAACATTGTCCTCCTGCTTCGCCACATCGCCGGACACTGCAATGATCTTGCTGATTCTCTCTCCCGTCTGCAGGTACGGCGCTTCCGGACCCTCAACCCAACTGCCGACGCAGCGCCTACACCACCAGCGCAGTCCACCCTCCATCAGTTGATGACGCAGCCATGGAGCTCATCCGTCACGGCCTGGCAGACAGCTCCAGCGCGACGTACGCTTCAGTGCAGCGTTCCTACGAACGCTTTGCTGCCCTACGGCAGGTCGCGCCGTACCCGGTGACGGAGCCCAGCCTGATTAACTTTCTGAATTGGAAATTCTCGTCCGGCTCGTCTGGCTCGTCTCTGAAACTCTACACCCAGGCGCTGAGACATCAGCACGTCCTGCAGGGCCTCTGCCTGGATGTTTTCGCCTCACCGCGTGTCCGGCTGCTCCAGCAGGGGGCGCTCAGATCCCAGACGGCAGTCCGGAAAGTGCTAACGGCCGCAACTTTGGACGATCTGGCGGGCGTACAGCACTACCTGCAGTCCACTGTGCCTAGCCCGCACAACCGCGCCATGCTCTGGAGCGCCGTGACTCTGGCCTTCCACGGGCTGCTCAGAGTCAACGAGTACACCTTCACGGCACGGGGCGCCGGCCTTGAGTACAGCGATGCGACCATGTACCCAGACCGCGTGGAGCTGCGCCTGCGCGTGACAAAGACGAGCCAATACGGCAGCGGCCAGGACATCAGCGTCAGGAGGACAGGCTCGCCGACATGCCCGCACACGGCAGCCACCAGCTACCTAGCAGCCCGTGGCTCGGCACCTGGCCCGCTCTATCGCTATGATGACGGCACGCCCCTGAAGCCGCATAACATCAACAGGCTACTACAAACAGCCTTGCCTAACAAAGACGTGCGCAGCCACAGCCTCAGACGAGGCGCTGCAACGCTGGCAGGCAAAGCTGGCGTGCCTGAGTATGTGCTGAAGACCGCCGGCAGGTGGCAAAGCTCTGCCTACCTCCGCTATGTCCGCACCCCTGTCGCAGACAGAGCATTGCCAGCGGCATTGTTCTAGTCTCTGCCCGTTGTGCTAATGGGTAGCCGCATTGGACGGCCCTAGCGACAGCTGTAGTGTACATATGATATACATATTATACTATAACTATGGTAATGCTACTATAACTATAGTAATGCCGATAATTCCTGTTTGGGTCATGTTGTATTTTTGGGAGAACGGTAGGGATCGTGGGTCAGGCCGGCATTGAGCCAAGTGCGCCTACATGTGCTCACAAGTGCATCCCTACCGTATGCTCACGTATTGACACGCCTAAGAACGGTAGGGATCGTGGGTCAGGCCGGCATTGAGCCAAGTGCGCCTACATGTGCTCACAAGTGCATCCCTACCGTACGCTCGTGTATTGACACGCCGGGCAATTGTTGCCCCCATTAGCCCTGGCATTGGCCAGTCTAACGCACATTGGTGCTTGCGATACTACGGCATTGGACCATAGTATTGCATACTGTATGCGGCAATTGTTGCCTATGCCCTGATAATACAACGCGTAATAGCTCCCAAACAGGTCGGCTTGTTGTGTGGTTGTTAAATATAAGTTTCCGTGCATGGCACGGTAAGTGAAGTTAGCAACCCACCAACAATTACATTCCTAACATAATTTGCACGTACTTGCCATAGCGCATCACGTGCCCGTGCAGAACACGCGCTCCGGCACGGGACCACGCGGAGCATGCGCATTACTCCGGCTCTCGATGCTGTTTCTTCATCCTTGCTGCGCCAACAGTCAGATCGCTTGACAACCTTGGCCAGTTTTTGAGCACCACCACCCACCCCATCATCTCTAACCATCATTCTATTCTAAGCCATCCCGGAAGGGAGAACGGTAGGGATCGTGGGTCAGGCCGGCATTGAGCCAAGTGCGCCTACATGTGCTCACAAGTGCATCCCTACCGTATGCTCACGTATTGACACGCCTAAGAACGGTAGGGATCGTGGGTCAGGCCGGCATTGAGCCAAGTGCGCCTACATGTGCTCACAAGTGCATCCCTACCGTACGCTCGTGTATTGACACGCCGGGCAATTGTTGCCCCCATTAGCCCTGGCATTGGCCAGTCTAACGCACATTGGTGCTTGCGATACTACGGCATTGGACCATAGTATTGCATACTGTATGCGGCAATTGTTGCCTATGCCCTGATAATACAACGCGTAATAGCTCCCAAACAGGTCGGCTTGTTGTGTGGTTGTTAATGAGGGATTAGCTTGCCAGTGGAAATGCATCTGCGCACATACATTTCACACACTTTTGGCCAATTTTCAATCGAAGAGGAGGTTGTTTGCTATGTTCTCCCAACGTTGTGAGCGATCTCGCCTTCTATACCCTTCCAGGTACCCTGAAGGTCCTCCAGAGGAGAATTCATCTCCAGCAAAGCGTCGTTGATCCGCTAAATTCGTCTCGAAACATATTCACCCAGTGCAGTGCTGATAAATGTAGAATGTTGAATCTGTGATAATTGTCGACGATGGAGAGAGAGGTTGATAGCCGCTGTCGCAGGGAGAGTGAAGCTGCTGGAAGTAACAACGGTGAGCCCGTTTGTATCACCTGAACAACCAGACTTCAAAGCAGCTTGACCAAATCGGAGGGTGCCTCGTTGCTTATCGTGAATATTACACCGACATGAATTACTGGTGAGTTTTTATCTTGTTTTGTTCGTATGCTAGTACCCTTGCCTGGAGTTCTTGTTAGCAAATTCCTATTCCCTGGCGTTTTCTAAACATTCCGTGTAGTACTGAATACGTGATCAAGTATTCCGATTTGGGTAGATGTGGAATTATTTATTTATTTATTTCTGCACCTCGTGGCATGTCAAGACAGCCAATTGAATTGAGGAGAGGGTGAGACCAACCACGGAAGAAGAGAAAAAAGAAAATTAAGAGCACGTACACAAAGTGGGAAGGGATTAGCAACTTACAAAGCAATGGGATGCTCAGCGAGCTATGCAGCGGAAGTGGTGACTGTGACTTTGTTTACTGGGAGATACTGAAGTGCTGTCTGACGAGGGTACGGAATTTGGGCATATCTGGAGCTTGTCTAACACTGGGAGGCAGTTGGAGCCCCGTGGAGTAGGAGGAAAATAAAGGGGAATTTACGAATAGGGTAGACCTAGCTAGGGGGAGACGAACGCAGCTTCGGGTGGTGCCACCTGAATTGAACCAATTAAGGGACTGTAAATGAGCAGGGTGCTGGTCAAGGAAAATTGAATGCGCCAGGGTGCACTTGGAAGCATCAAGGTAATGTTGCAGAGTGGTAGTGGATGCAGCAGCATACAAGTCTAGATTTGAGGTATAACGATCAGTACGGAATATGATTCGCAGTATACGGCGATGGAGAACTTCTAATTTACCTATGTGGGTTTTGTTAATGGTGGACCAGGCAGGGAAGCCGTACGTGAAGAGGGGAAGAATGTATGATTTATAAAAATTAATCCGGCAATTTTTGGGCAAATGGGACAAGTGACTTGACATTATGCCGACAGATCGGCATACTTTGGACGACACATGATCAGCATGGTGAGACCAGGAGAGGGCGGAATCTATGACAATGCCAAGGTGTTTATGGTGGGGCGCTACAGAGATAGGGTGACCGGGATCATCGGGAAAGTGGAAGATGGGCACTGGATCTGTGGGAGGGGGAAACAGGAGGAGCTCGGTTTTGGTCACATTTGGCTTAAGGTACCAAGTGCTCATCCAGTGAACAATGTCGTTGATACAGGTCTGAACTTTGGGGTACAGGGTGGCGTGAGATGGGGAGGAAGCAAGGACAGTGGTATCATCTGCAAACAAAGAAATATTGGGAATTGAATAGGGGAGGTCATTAACGTATGTGAGGAAGAGCAGGGGACCTAAAATGGAGCCCTGGGGCACTCCGGATGTCACAGACTCGGGGTCAGATAAGGTTCCATTTACTGTGACGCACTGATTTCGGTCCAAGAGATAGCTAGTTATCCAGGCGAGTAGGGAGCCGGAGACACCATGGGCACGAAGTTTGGCGATCAGGCCCTTGTGCCACACGGTGTCGAAGGCCTTGGAGAGGTCGAAGAAACAGATGCAGGAGACCTGCCGCTGGTCTTTTAGGGAACAGAGGTCTTGGATTATGCGGGATAATTGCAGGGATGTGTTGTCCTTACGACGGAAGCCAGATTGTGCGGGGTGAAGAAGAGGGGAGATATGGTCGTACAAGCGGTCGTACACTATTCTCTCTAGCAGTTTGGAGACGCAGGACAGGAGGGAGATTGGTCGGTAATTAGACGGGTTGTTCTTGTCGCCTTTATTTTTGTACACTGGAATGACAGTGGCTGACTTCCATCGTGACGGGAATGTGCCGGAGGAGAGGGAAAGGTTAAAAAGAATGGAGAGTGGGCGGGCAATTGAGTAGCTCAGTTTCCTGAGGATCTCATTGGTGATCCTATCAGCTCCGGGGGATTTGTTCAGAGGCAGTCTTGCAATATACTTGTCAACTTGGACATGTATTTTTAGAAAAAAATTCTATTTTCCAAATAGAGCGTTCGTAGAGAAATGGTTGCCCAAATACAACAAAATTGATTCTGCAGTTCTACAACTTGTACTGAAATCCTGTCAAAGTGAAAATGATTCTTCATGACAGTTGGGGTCAATGAAATCTGATCCAGGCATAACGAATGGTGACGCCTGCCACCCCGGGAACGAATGCCCATTTGGTGGGGGATACCAAAGTACTCGAAAGTGGTTCGTGTTTCAATGTGGCATTTGGAAGTTCTATCTCTGGTCAATGCAACATACGATAGCCATCATGAATTGCAGGCCTCAAACGCAACTCAGGCCAGAATTGGCAGTTCCCTAAGTTAGATGCTTTATAATTCCATGGCCCCAGCTGTAGTTATAGAGGTTTTTTGCACGTTATTCTTATACTCGATAGGTTTATACTGATGGCCACAAACAATGGCAGTTCAAACTTCACTTATGTGTTCATGAGCTGAGAGATTTCTCTCCACTATTTCTGTTGTGCACACAGGTCTGTCCAATATGCATTGACCGTATTGGGTATGGTATCTGCTCTGAGAAGAGAATCGCTGGAGCCACAGTCCAACTATACAGGCTTTCAAGAAACAGAGAGGAGCCACCTTTGCAAGCTGATACCTGATGTGTACCGACAGAATTCTCACGAGATACCATACAGACTACGTCTGGTGTATACTTCATAGTACTCCTTCGACTACTGTCTAGAATCAAGTCGACTGAAACAAGTTCCAACAACTCTGGCTTCAAACGAGCCGTCGGTTAGACAAACAAAACATTCTCTCATATACTAGAGCACTCTGACAACTCACGACCTATTCCTAACGATTACCACCGCTTATAAATATGTAGAGTGCTGATTGGAATGGGCTCACAATCTCAACAATTCATTGCTATAATTATTTGAACAATATGTTAGAAATTATTCCACTTTTCCTTCCATAAATGTTGTATCCACATATAATCCACAGTGCTGCAAAGTTTCAGAGTTCTCAGGGTCTCAAACAAATTATTTCAAATACAGTAAAATTGTTCGCGGACATTATAGCGTAACTTGTAGTTCCCTGGTCCTTTTCTTTGCTATAAATCAATCCTTTGCTCTCTAGCCGCCGGCGAGTCCAACAGTGAAGTTGTTAGTTCATATTTATAATGTGGGGGGGGGGGGTTGAACATATTTCTATATAAGGGACCTACAACTGTAATAGCACAGTACAGTAGCTGGCAAATATGTAGAAAACAGAAATGCATGATCCCATCATTGTACATGGACGGGCGCAGCAGGCCGAAGCTATCAGCCAGAACAGGATTTACAATCATCTAGAGATACTTGAGCTATTCCAGTATTCTGCGTGAGCTGTCCCATTCCACAATGTTTCATGCCACCATTATTTCTGGCAGTATCCATGTGCATAATTCCAAGACCATCTCGGATTCTCCAGCAATTTGTGCCACGGCAAAACGCTTGACTCGGTCACTGGGGCTGTCAAACTTCCCATCACAAATGAACTTCAATTTCTCATGTGTTTCAAGTATATGTACTGCCATGACTTGACCATGCTTCATCCACAGCTGGGCGAAGATTGTGGCGTTGAATTCCATAGTGCACCTTCTTGCTGCCATGCAGGAGTATGTTGAGAGAAGTGAACATATTTTTACTAAAAACAACAGCCACTGAAGAGGATAGCAATAGCCTTGGGTGAATTTCCTGCAGGTACACGTTGTTGGTAGGTCTACTGGTCGGTCTCCATATTGTCAAGTTCAGAAATCACCTGTACTACACATCTTGTAGAAGGGATCCTGATCGAATAATTTTCTGGTCAAAAAATTCACAGGCTAAACTGAGGGCGAGACAAATAGTCAGTACTCCCCGATTCCGTCAAGCTGCTTTGAAGTCTGGATGCTCATGTGATGCTAACAAGCTCCCCGTTGTTACTTCCAGCAGCTTCACTCTCCCTGCGACAGCGGCTATCAACCTCTCTCTCCATCGTCGACAATTATCACAGAATCAACATTCTACATTTATCAGCACTGCACTGGGTGAATAATTATGTCTCAAGACGAATTTAGCGGATCAACAACGCTTTGCTGGAGATAAATTCTCCTCTGGAGGACCTTCAGGGTACCTGGAAGGGTATAGAAGGCGGGATCGCTCACGACGGTGAGAGAACATAGCAAACAACCTCCTCTTCGATAGAAAATTGGCCAAAATGTGTGTGAAATGTATGTGCGCAGATGCATTTCCACTGGCAAGCTAATCCCTCATTACGTCATCAGCGCTCGCTCGGCGAAATTCAAAAGTCGTCTTCCTGCTCGACTCGATCGCTTCTGGAGACTCGTTCTTGTTCGAGGGGTCTTCTCTTTCACCAACCTACGTCTTGGCATCGAAAACTCGGCGTCGAAAATGAAGCCGGAGTGCACCTTTAATAGCTCAGTAACAGACAATGACCATCCTCATCTCCTTGTGTAGATGGATATAGACAAGTGTACCAAGAAAAAGAGCAGAATTTCTCTAAAGAACTCGCACAGGGCTGCTGAAAGCTGAAAAATAACCTATCACACAAATTGGGGCTTTTTAACCGTGAATCTTCACTTTGCGACTAAACTATTCACAGCAGTGCCAAACTTTCTGGGTCACTGAATGTGGGTGCCAGCGCCCTCCAAGCAAACCAAAAATCAAAACATTGCGACGA